ACTCTGGGTGGCTATTTGGCTGTTTCGGCAACCAGCCGAAACAGCCTTTGTTTTCATTAAAGTTTTTATTTTTATTTTTTTTGTGGCTTTTCCGCATAGTTGCGGAAAAGCCTTTCTTTTTGTTCTCATTTAAAAATTTTTTTTGACTTTTTCGCAATTTGCAAAAAAGCCTTTAATACCCGTTGGCGCGTAATCGCGAATTTTCCAGATGTGCCATTGTGTTGGGTTTTTGCACGACAGCTAAAATGGAAATATTCATAAAACTGTAAGTAAAACTACTTCTTATTTAAGATATAATTGTTCCAAATTATTTTAAAAATAAATACTTCAGGATATAACAGATGGTATTGTGCAGTTTTTGTCGTCACAGATGAAGTATTTACATGGGAAATAAACGTCAAATTTCGAGGAGAACACCGTTTACCCAAATTTCGTTTTTAATTAGGCTTTTATTAAAAAGTTTTAGAGAGATAGGATGCCGAACCGATGAAACAAAAGCGACATTTCATTATTCATCTTAAAGCTAAAGATATTGTGCGTTACCTTGGTTATGTAGTTATCACATATCAGAATTCAATAATAAAGACCAAAAACGTAGACTCATGAATATTCAAAAATATAATTCGCTGGCTTGACAGACTTCGAGGCCAGATCGGGCGAAGAGCCTTGCAAATCTGAAAGCCACCGCGCGCAGTGGTCTTTGTTGAAAAGTATTCATGGTATTTGCCACCAGTACAGGCCGCTATCACGCGTCTAACCAGGAGTTGGGCCGAGTCGTTAATCCTTGTGTGTAGGATCCGTGGTTGCTCTAGGTACTAGTGATCATTCAGTCTCAGAATAGTTTTGCTTGACTGAACAACCCAGATTTTCTTAACAATTTTTGAGGCCTTCCATTTATAAATAGTAATGAAAATAATCCTTGTTTTACTGGCCGTGACATGTTATGTTCGTGAACAAGACAGTACCGCACCGGATTTACAAATGCGATACCGAAATTGAAATTCCTAGTTTCGGTGCACCGAATTTACAAATCCGTTGATTTCTAGTGATGCTGCAACATGGCCTTTATTTTCGTACGGAGGTAGGGCCTAGGTGCGCCTAGCTCTACTGAGTGGAGCGTTGAACTACGGTACCCTCCGTACAAACGCTCCACCGATTTGGCATACTTTGATGACGGCTTCACAGTAGCATGATAGTGTACATACCCACGCGAGGACAAAAAGACCCCCCAAAAAACGGTAAAGAGAATACAAATGAGAAAGACAGTAGCACTGGATAGATCCACACATTCATGACATTCCATAAGACCCCTTATATTGTTCCCAAACAGTGGACATTTTGAAGAAAAAAAAACAGCAAAATAGTCAGAAAACTTAGAGCTCAATGTGTTTGCCGTGAAGCTCAGACCTTGCTCCGACTTGCCGACTGTTTCATGCACTAATATGAGGTTTACCACTCGCATTACAGCTGCGGTACAGGAACCGCAACCGACAGCGCATGAAACAGTTATCGGGTGTTACGCTTCCGCGTGACGTCATGCGCCAACAGCCAGCGCAGCCGGCAAAAACGACTAGCGCTGTGCCTGGTAATCGACCGCCATTCATTGTACACAATTTTTTTTGTGCACAAACCAATTGCGGTCCTGGCCATGCCCGCAAGGTTGTCAGGTTAGCGGTTATTCCTCCTTTTTTCACTGCAATTGTAGGCTGAATCTTCATCGTGGATCGTTTTTTACTTCAAGGACCTGTGTAATGGTTATTCCGGGCAAGTTTGGGGTGAGTTGCAGTTGCAATTAGTGTGTAACGGGGACAAAATTGAACATTTTCCAATTTTTTTTCGCAATTTTTTTTGGGACCTGCCTACGCTGCTGGGTTACATGAAAAACTAGCTCCAGCCTAGACCCGTGAACGTGGACGTTGTATACAACGCCACGTTGTTGTGTCATTTTGAACCTAGCGAAATCGATCCGACATACATAATTCCGTATGGGTGTTGAGTACTCACCTATAAATCTAACTTTGCCCGTCCGATTGTTTAGGCTGTGTAATTTCGATGAAATTTGCCCATCAGTAAAGACCCATACGAACGTGTAGAAATTTCATTTTAACCCGACAAGTGACCCTGACAAATGACCCCAGACGAGTTGCTTGGACAGATTGACGGCTGTTTCATGTCGCAACCCCGAAAAAAAAAAACCGCACCCGATTGGCTGCTCGGCTCATCTCGTGTACGTATGTGTGCACACGCACGTGGGCGCACGTACGCCCGCGCGCGTGTGGTGCGGTGAGAGAGGAAAGGACTTGAAACTTGTCTAAAACGATGTCTCTTTTAGCTGCGACAGTAAACAGCCGTCGAATTATACGAAGGACGGTACAATAAAACGCAATGCGCATGCGTTACTTGGGAGAAAATGGCAGCTAGCAGGACTTCATAAACCGGGGCCTGAATTTTCCTCAAATTTCGTCAAATGCAAGTTTTGATGTACAAACAGATTTCAAGACAGCTTCATATGTGAGTACTTATTACATTTGCAAAATAACGTCCAGTGTGTGTAATGGAGGGAGTGAGAGGGACAATTTCGCCAGGTTCAGAAATACACAACAGCGTGGCGTAGTTTACAAGCCACGTTCACGGGTCTAGCTCCAGCCCTAAATGACAACCCAATGAAAAAATTTAGGGCTGGGTAACTCCAGCTACAAACTCAAAACTTTAAGAGATGATCTTTTGCTGAAATTGGTTTTAGTGGTCAGAAATTGCCTCAGATCACACAACAGAAATTGCTTTTCTATAACTGCATGTCTCCTTAACTATAGGCCTATCCCCATTTACATTTAACTCCCCAAATTTTCATCCCCAACACCACGCCCTATCCGATCTATGATCGGGTAAATCAGCTTGTTTATAATATATATGAAAACTGCCCAATAGCCCTAGCCTTGTTGCCATTTGTAGTTCGTGGCTCCAGAGGATTTTTTTTAAAGGGAAGTAAAGTCCGACATTTCATTAGGTCTGATTCCCCGCCCCCTGAATACAACATTACAACGATATTCAGCATGTTCAGTGCGGCACCAGACTAGGCAACAAGGCTACGAATAACACCTCCTTTTTTATTATATAGTCGGACTCCCCATTATCGCGGCATCCCTATTATGGCGGCATGGGAAATTTCTCTTTTCACAATGTCAAAACTCCTTCAAGTGGCGATTTTTATCCAGTTCACCAGTCATCAAGGATTTTCTACCGAGTTGTATAAAAAGGGGTACAACTATAGAATGCAGGGCCACTTTACTCTACATCCGCGCCTCCGTACGGCTGCGTGGAGGCGTGGAACCGCAGTCGACCTACCTCTGAAAATCGATCGTGGAGTCGTGGAGCCGCAGAGAATTGCGCCCTCTATCGGTGCGCGTCTCTGCGACTCCGCGACTCCGCGCCTCCACCACTGAGAGACAGTGCCCCGTCGCCCTCCCCCCCCCTTCCTAATTTGCGCGCCCAATTAAAGCGACTCCGCGCCTCCGCGACTCCAGACAGTGCCCCGTCGCCCTCCCCCCCTTCCTAATTGGCCCGCCCAATTAAAGTGACTCTGCGACTCCCCGACTCCGCGCCTCCGCGACTCCAGACAGTGCCCCGTCGCCCTCCCCCCCCTTCCCAATTGGCCCGCCCAATTAAAGTGACTCTGCGACTCCCCGACTCCGCGCCTCCGCGACTCCAGACAGTGCCCCGTCGCCCTCCCCCCCCTTCCTAATTGGCCCGCCCAATTAAAGTGACTCTGCGACTCCCCGACTCCGCGCCTCTGCGACTCCAGACAGTGCCCCGTCGCCCTCCCCCCTTCCTAATTGGCCCGCCCATTTAAAATGGATATGGATGCTTCGTTCTCAAAAAGATTCCGCCGAGAATTGCGCCCTCTATCGGTGCGACTCCGCGACTCCGCGCCTCCGCCACTGCGGCCACTCCAGTGCCCCGCGTCTCCGCGATTCTGCGACTCCAAGACTCCGCGCCTCCGCCGCTCCAGACAGTGCCCCCAACACATTTACAAGCACGTCCTCCCTTCCGATCCTTCATGAGAAGCTTTGAAGACAAGTGCAGTGCATTCCTTCGCTGTACTTAGCACTTTTTTGCAGGTTTGCATATCTATTACTCCTATTCCATCCACGCCTCCAGGCAAAATAACAAACCTTGCTTCGGCGTGGCCCTGCATTCTATAGTTGCTCCTAAAAAGGACGATTAAAAAATGTTGTGTCTCTCGGGACTTTTAACGATTTTAATAAATATTAACGGTTTCCAAAACTTGCAAAATTTTCCCTCACCGTGTCTGCTAAAAGGTACCGTTTATATTTAACATAAATCTTTAATTGCGCTCTGTCCATGAAAGTTCCATTGTCTGGTTCCCATTCTTCAGCTGCAAATGTAAAATGAAGTCAGACGACGATATTTGCAGCGCGAAATCATAACAACTTTTACGGGATTAAAATAAGCACCGCGCGTTAGCGAAAATAAAACGACACACCGTGTAAAGTGAATGGCGCCCTCAATCGCCGATCAGTAGACTTGCCTCAGGGATTTGTGTTCTTCTTTCGGGGGAAGTGCAGGGTCTTAAGAAATCATCCTGCAGACATCTTGTCTTTAATCAACTTGAACATTACAGGGAAAATATCAGACTTTATTCAGGGGGTGTTTTGGTCAAACATAAACTATGAACACAAAACTTTTCAAAAGTTGGGATCATTATAAAAACCACTTCCCGCATACCGCGATAATAGGGAGTCCACCTCCGTTCGCACACGCCGCGCATGTCTATTTTCACAGGCATCGTACACGGAATAAACCACACCACCCGTCAGATTTTTTTATATTAATTTAAAAAAGAAGAGTTATACTACACATAAGACAGGACAATTCTGGAAGGTTAGTGGGCAATCTCTCTTCCCAACGAGAAACGTGATAAGTACCGCGATAATACGGCGTTCCATCCTACTTTATAGCTCGATTGTGTAAAAACTTACCAAGTCCAAGGTCAACACCGGTAACTCCGTCGACCTGCTTTTCCACAACCATGATAACTGACAGTATTGTCATCAGCCTGATCATGATTTTTTTAAACATCGTGACATAACAAACATCCGCCTAGCCCTGCCCTAAGTCTATGGTCCTGTAGCCGACACATACAAATTTCATGAACTTGGCCTATGCATAGCGCATCGTGCGGGAATTTGCACGCCTGCGCACTTGCAGTCATTTTTAGAAAAAATATGTCGGTGACTTGCTACGTCACAGACAACCCGAACGTTTGCGGGTCAATCCAGGTCAATTCCCGCGCGGACCATCTATTTTTGAACCGACCGATATTGCGGTCGGCCGATATGTAATCTGATACGTTCCCACGCCAAGGCAAGGCACTATGCATACATGCTGCATACAAATGCGTATACGTGTATGTACGTGTATTGGATGATCCAGGGATCGGCGAGCTAAAGTTCAAGTCAATTTGTTCAAATCGGAGTTCGACTCGAAGCTTGCTTCATTTTATTTTTGACCAAAATGCAACTTGGGGTTACATGTATATTCAAAGTTACATAATAATACAGCAAATATGAAAGATCGTTTAGATCCCTACATCATTTGTTGTGAATTAGCCACTGGAAAACACAGTACAAAATAACCTTATTTAAGTTAAATAACTTTTCAAAATCTGCACCTGTGGTTTTTAGTATTTTACGACGATGGAAAAAAAAATCATTTTTAAAGTTCTTTATCCTTTTTTCCCTGGCATATTTTTAAAGTTATATTTCATTGTCATAGTGCTAGCCCGGGGCGGATAAGCATCGTGTCTTTTTGCTGTCAGTCTTTATGGGGTTATCATTTAAAAAAATTATTGTGTTTTACAGGCATATTTTATTCATAGGTTAATTTAAATGCAAGTTAAGCTATTGTCAGTTCTTGCATGCTGTTTTTACTGTTTTTACTCTTTGATTTTACACCAGGACAAGAATGTGTTTGTTTTTAACTTAGATGACTAATAAAAGTACGATAATGAATGTTCACCACTTGTCAATAATGTCGAGAAGTTATAACAACAAAGGCATGAAAATAAAAGGAAATACACTTGATGCCAACTTCACGAAAGGGGTAGATCATGGGGGCAATTCCGAAGAGTCGTCAAAAAACAGACGCAAAACAAACTAGAAATGTGTTTGTGGACAAACACAAGCTGTTTCGGATATTTAAAATACTCTGTGCACATGATAAACACTTGATGAAGTCACTTCGAATGTCATCTGCCAAGTGAAAAGTCAATCAGACATATAGTGCCAAAGTATGATTTGAAGAAAAACGTGTACAAAACCTACGGGGAAAAATGCATCTTTAATGTGAAGTAACCTTACACCTGATGATGTCACGATCACGAATTTCTTCTAGGACCATCTGTGGGTGGTAGTCTAAATGCAAGTTTTGATGTACAAACAGATTTCAAGACAGCTTCATATGTGAGTACTTATTACATTTGCAAAATAACGTCCAGTGTGTGTAATGGAGGGAGTGAGAGGGACAATTTCGCCAGGTTCAGAAATACACAACAGCGTGGCGTAGTTTACAAGCCACGTTCACGGGTCTAGCTCCAGCCCTAAATGACAACCCAATGAAAAAATTTAGGGCTGGGTAACTCCAGCTACAAACTCAAAACTTTAAGAGATGATCTTTTGCTGAAATTGGTTTTAGTGGTCAGAAATTGCCTCAGATCACACAACAGAAATTGCTTTTCTATAACTGCATGTCTCCTTAACTATAGGCCTATCCCCATTTACATTTAACTCCCCAAATTTTCATCCCCAACACCACGCCCTATCCGATCTATGATCGGGTAAATCAGCTTGTTTATAATATATATGAAAACTGCCCAATAGCCCTAGCCTTGTTGCCATTTGTAGTTCGTGGCTCCAGAGGATTTTTTTTAAAGGGAAGTAAAGTCCGACATTTCATTAGGTCTGATTCCCCGCCCCCTGAATACAACATTACAACGATATTCAGCATGTTCAGTGCGGCACCAGACTAGGCAACAAGGCTACGAATAACACCTCCTTTTTTATTATATAGTCGGACTCCCCATTATCGCGGCATCCCTATTATCGCGGCATGGGAAATTTCTCTTTTCACAATGTCAAAACTCCTTCAAGTGGCGATTTTTATCCAGTTCACCAGTCATCAAGGATTTTCTACCGAGTTGTATAAAAAGGGGTACAACTATAGAATGCAGGGCCACTTTACTCTACATCCGCGCCTCCGTACGGCTGCGTGGAGGCGTGGAACCGCAGTCGACCTACCTCTGAAAATCGATCGTGGAGTCGTGGAGCCGCAGAGAATTGCGCCCTCTATCGGTGCGCGTCTCTGCGACTCCGCGACTCCGCGCCTCCACCACTGAGAGACAGTGCCCCGTCGCCCTCCCCCCCCCCTTCCTAATTTGCGCGCCCAATTAAAGCGACTCCGCGCCTCCGCGACTCCAGACAGTGCCCCGTCGCCCTCCCCCCCTTCCTAATTGGCCCGCCCAATTAAAGTGACTCTGCGACTCCCCGACTCCGCGCCTCCGCGACTCCAGACAGTGCCCCGTCGCCCTCCCCCCCCCTTCCCAATTGGCCCGCCCAATTAAAGTGACTCTGCGACTCCCCGACTCCGCGCCTCCGCGACTCCAGACAGTGCCCCGTCGCCCTCCCCCCCCTTCCTAATTGGCCCGCCCAATTAAAGTGACTCTGCGACTCCCCGACTCCGCGCCTCTGCGACTCCAGACAGTGCCCCGTCGCCCTCCCCCCTTCCTAATTGGCCCGCCCATTTAAAATGGATATGGATGCTTCGTTCTCAAAAAGATTCCGCCGAGAATTGCGCCCTCTATCGGTGCGACTCCGCGACTCCGCGCCTCCGCCACTGCGGCCACTCCAGTGCCCCGCGTCTCCGCGATTCTGCGACTCCAAGACTCCGCGCCTCCGCCGCTCCAGACAGTGCCCCCAACACATTTACAAGCACGTCCTCCCTTCCGATCCTTCATGAGAAGCTTTGAAGACAAGTGCAGTGCATTCCTTCGCTGTACTTAGCATTTTTTTGCAGGTTTGCATATCTATTACTCCTATTCCATCCACGCCTCCAGGCAAAATAACAAACCTTGCTTCGGCGTGGCCCTGCATTCTATAATTGCTCCTAAAAAGGACGATTAAAAAATGTTGTGTCTCTCGGGACTTTTAACGATTTTAATAAATATTAACGGTTTCCAAAACTTGCAAAATTTTCCCTCACCGTGTCTGCTAAAAGGTACCGTTTATATTTAACATAAATCTTTAATTGCGCTCTGTCCATGAAAGTTCCATTGTCTGGTTCCCATTCTTCAGCTGCAAATGTAAAATGAAGTCAGACGACGATATTTGCAGCGCGAAATCATAACAACTTTTACGGGATTAAAATAAGCACCGCGCGTTAGCGAAAATAAAACGACACACCGTGTAAAGTGAATGGCGCCCTCAATCGCCGATCAGTAGACTTGCCTCAGGGATTTGTGTTCTTCTTTCGGGGGAAGTGCAGGGTCTTAAGAAATCATCCTGCAGACATCTTGTCTTTAATCAACTTGAACATTACAGGGAAAATATCAGACTTTATTCAGGGGGTGTTTTGGTCAAACATAAACTATGAACACAAAACTTTTCAAAAGTTGGGATCATTATAAAAACCACTTCCCGCATACCGCGATAATAGGGAGTCCACCTCCGTTCGCACACGCCGCGCATGTCTATTTTCACAGGCATCGTACACGGAATAAACCACACCACCCGTCAGATTTTTTTATATTAATTTAAAAAAGAAGAGTTATACTACACATAAGACAGGACAATTCTGGAAGGTTAGTGGGCAATCTCTCTTCCCAACGAGAAACGTGATAAGTACCGCGATAATACGGCGTTCCATCCTACTTTATAGCTCGATTGTGTAAAAACTTACCAAGTCCAAGGTCAACACCGGTAACTCCGTCGACCTGCTTTTCCACAACCATGATAACTGACAGTATTGTCATCAGCCTGATCATGATTTTTTTAAACATCGTGACATAACAAACATCCGCCTAGCCCTGCCCTAAGTCTATGGTCCTGTAGCCGACACATACAAATTTCATGAACTTGGCCTATGCATAGCGCATCGTGCGGGAATTTGCACGCCTGCGCACTTGCAGTCATTTTTAGAAAAAATATGTCGGTGACTTGCTACGTCACAGACAACCCGAACGTTTGCGGGTCAATCCAGGTCAATTCCCGCGCGGACCATCTATTTTTGAACCGACCGATATTGCGGTCGGCCGATATGTAATCTGATACGTTCCCACGCCAAGGCAAGGCACTATGCATACATGCTGCATACAAATGCGTATACGTGTATGTACGTGTATTGGATGATCCAGGGATCGGCGAGCTAAAGTTCAAGTCAATTTGTTCAAATCGGAGTTCGACTCGAAGCTTGCTTCATTTTATTTTTGACCAAAATGCAACTTGGGGTTACATGTATATTCAAAGTTACATAATAATACAGCAAATATGAAAGATCGTTTAGATCCCTACATCATTTGTTGTGAATTAGCCACTGGAAAACACAGTACAAAATAACCTTATTTAAGTTAAATAACTTTTCAAAATCTGCACCTGTGGTTTTTAGTATTTTACGACGATGGAAAAAAAAAATCATTTTTAAAGTTCTTTATCCTTTTTTCCCTGGCATATTTTTAAAGTTATATTTCATTGTCATAGTGCTAGCCCGGGGCGGATAAGCATCGTGTCTTTTTGCTGTCAGTCTTTATGGGGTTATCATTTAAAAAAATTATTGTGTTTTACAGGCATATTTTATTCATAGGTTAATTTAAATGTAAGTTAAGCTATTGTCAGTTCTTGCATGCTGTTTTTACTGTTTTTACTCTTTGATTTTACACCAGGACAAGAATGTGTTTGTTTTTAACTTAGATGACTAATAAAAGTACGATAATGAATGTTCACCACTTGTCAATAATGTCGAGAAGTTATAACAACAAAGGCATGAAAATAAAAGGAAATACACTTGATGCCAACTTCACGAAAGGGGTAGATCATGGGGGCAATTCCGAAGAGTCGTCAAAAAACAGACGCAAAACAAACTAGAAATGTGTTTGTGGACAAACACAAGCTGTTT